TTTCCCCCTCCGCCGCTTAAGGAAGGGGCCTGAGGCTGTTAGGAATGGTGGGAGTTGAAGTCCAAAACATCTGGAGGGCCCAAGTTGACCCATGCCTGGTGTAGATGTACCTTCAGTCATCGCTTTATTTTTTCCAACTGGTGATATAAGTACATGGTGGTTATACAATGATACCTGTATGAAGTGAATGTCACACAGATCAGGGTGGCAAGTTAAACATATTATGGATTTGGGTGCAAACAACCACAGTCGGGAAATGTGAGCCATCTTCTGGAGGTTGGACATAAGCAGTATTTGCAAATCATTTCCAAAGGATGATACAAACACACCTACGTATCGGTTGATGATCCTTTATGTACCCACATGGAGTTCAAAAACAAGCAAAATAAAGGGCACATGTTCGCCGCGGGAATGAATACCATGCAGCCCTGAAATGGCATGGAAAATGTACCAGTGCTGCACACACACATATACACGGTACATCTAGAATACATGCAGTTTGACACCACTTTAACTGCCATGGCTCAATGCTATGAAATCCTGGAAGCTGCAGTTTGATATGACAACAACAACGACAACGACAACGACAACAACAACAACAACCATGTACTTAAAGATAGAACTGCAAAGACTCCAGCACATGTCAGTGAAGGTGGTCCCAGTGGTAATCAGCACACTGGGTGCAGTGCCTAAAGACCTTGGCCTTCACTTAAAAACAATTGGCTCTAACAAAATTGCCACCTGTTAGCTGCAAAAGGTCACCCTACTAGGAACTGAATGCATTATTTGCCAATACATCACACATTCCAGAACACTTGGGAAGTGTCTGACATGTGATCAAATATGAAAGCCAGCATAATGATCTTGTTTGCTGTCTACTAATCTTGTTATGTATCAAATAATAGTAATAATAATAACAACAATAATAGTAAAATTTATTTGTATCCCGCCCCATCTCCCAAAAGTAATAATAGTAACCAAAATAACACAGATCAACAAATAAGGCACTAAGATAATAATAAAAAATAATAAACTAAATGGCTAATATGAGGCTAAGCCCAAAAATAATACAGCAAAGTTCAACACAAAGCAATAAAAAAAATACACCACAACATGATACACAAAGTAACAAAACAAAATAAACAGTGCAAAATGACATAAAACAAATCAAATATAAAGATTCTTTGGAAGAGAAGGCTAAAGACCTAGTAAAACTAAAACTCCCACAGTTCCAAAGTAGTTGAAGTGCTGTCAAACTGTATACGTTCGTCAAATTAATTAGTGGGAAGCCACAAGAGTGGCCGGCAGAACTGAAACACTTACAACCTTTACATAAACAAACAAGTCCCCATAGATAAATGATAACCGCTTAGTTGGAAGAGATCTCATGGGCCATCCAGTCCAACCCCCTGCCAAGAAGGAGGAAAATCACATTCAAAGCACCCCTGTCAGATGGCCATCCAGCCTCTGTTTAAAAGCCTCCAAAGAAGGAGTCTGCATCACATTATCCCCATTGCTAGCATCTAAGGACTCATGAATATTGTTTGTCCCCTTTCGCTGTGGAGTCTAGAAACTCTTCCCTCCAAGACTCTCTTTCATCATTGCTCCCTGGCGCTGTTTACATCCATACAAACCCATGCCTGCCTTTCTCTCTGTGCCTGTCGATTGATGGAGACCTCATGGATTTTATAGGATATTTTTAGGCAGGGAATGTTCAGAGGTAGTTCCTTCATCGGAAGCACAGCTTTCAGAACCGGGAATTCATTGGCCATTGGCCAACTCCCCTCAAAATAGCTTCCAATATCAGGATCGAGTGTCTTTAGGGCATAAGAGAGGGAGTTTCTTCCTCCCGGGAGCAAAACACCTGTGATGGCTGTGGAGGGGGAAGTGAACTGATAGGGAGGGGGAAACGAATGGCTTCAGAGCAACTTCCTTCTCTTAACTCACTCTTCTTCCTTCCTTTTTTCTTTCTCTCATTTCCTTCTCTCTCTCCTTTCCATCCTTCCTTCCCCTGTCATTGCTCCTTCCTTTCTTCTAATTTCTTCTTCTTTCCCACCCTTTTTCTTTTTTTTCATTCCCTTCTTTCCCTAGCCTCCCCTCTCTCCCTTTCCCCCTTTCCCCCTTTCCCCCTTTCCCCCTTTCCCCCTTTCCTTCCTTCCTTCCTTCCTTCCTTCCTTCCTTCCTTCCTTCCTTCCTTCCTTCTATCCATCAGTCTCTCATTCTCTTTCCCCCCTTTATTTTCTTCCATTCCCCCTCCTTCTCCTCCCTTTCTAATTCTATTTCCTTCTCTTTCCTTCCCTCCTACTCTCCTTTTCTCATTTTCCTTCCTTCCTTCTCTCTTTCTTTTTCTGCCTTCCATCCTTTTCTCACTCTTCTTCCTCCCTTATTCTCCTTCCTCCTTTCTTCTCCCTTTCTCTTTTCTTTCCTTTTTTCTTCCTTCCCCTTCTTTTTCTACATTCTATTATTATCTCTTCCTCCTCACTCCCTTCCCTTTCACTTTCTTTTTCTTCCTCCCTCCCTCCCTCCTCTTTCTTATTTCTTTCCTTTAAAGCAGCCATCTCTCACTCCCTTCTGTAGCCCTCTCCCTCTCTTTCCATCCTTATTTTGTCCTGTCCACATTTTGCTTGCCTTCCTTCCCTCTATTCTTTCCCATTCATCCTTTTTCCTTATCTTCTTCCTTCCATCCATCCATCCATCACATTTTCCTTCTTTCTACCCATCTCTCCTTTCCCCCTTCCCTTCCTTCCACTTCTCTCTCTTCTTCTTTCCCTCTCTTTCACTTTTCTCTCTTCTGTTCACATCTCTTTACCCCCTCCTTACACCTCTCTCTCAATTCTTTATATCCTTCACATTCATTTCTTTCTTTCTCCTCTTATTCTTCAAAGCCCTTCCATTTCTGCTTCTACTTTTCTTCAAATTATGTTTACTCTCTTTTCCTACCACCAATATCCTCTTACTCCTATGCCTTCTTTCCATATGTTTCAGTTTCCTTCTGTCCTCTCTCTTCCTGCTTCTTTCCACCCATCCACCCATCTTTCTCATTTTCTTTCCTTCCTTCTTTCCATTCCTCTTTCCCCTTTCCTTCCTTCTCTCCCTCTCCTTACTTACTTCCATCCCTTTCTCCTTCTCTTTCCTTCCATCTCTCCTTTCCCTCTTGCCTTCCTTCCTTCCCTCCTTCTCTTCTTCCTTCCATGCTTTCCTTCCTTCCGTTCACCCATCTGTCCTTCTCCTTCCACCACTTGCTTTCCTTCTTCTTTCCATCCCTCCTTCCTTCTCTCGTTTCTTCTGCTTTTCTCCTTCTTTTTATCCATCTCTCCCTCTGCCCTACCTTCCACTTTTCTCTATTTTTCCTTCCAACCCTCTTTCTCTCTTTCCTTCCTTCTTTCAATTCTTTCCCCCTTCCCTTCCTTCTGTCCTTCTCTCTTCTTCCTCTTTCCCATCCATCCCTCTTTCTCCTTCTTTCAATTCCTTTTCCCCCTTCCTTCCTTCCCTTTCTCTCTTTCCTTCCACCTCTTCTTCCCCCTGCCTTCCTTCCATCCTTCTCTCTTCTTCCTCTTCTCCATTCATTCCTCTTTCCCCTTCCCTTCCTTCCTTCTCTCCCTCTCCTTCCTTCCTTCCATCCCTTTCTCCTCTTTCTTCCTTCTTTCCATTTCCCCTTCCCTTCCTTCCATCCTGCCTTCTTTCCATCCACCCATCCGTCTTTCTCTTTCCTTCCTTCTTTCCATTCACTTCCTTCTTTCTCTCCCTCTCCTTTCTTCCTCCTTCTCTCTTTCCTTCCACCTCTCCTTTCCCCCTTCCTTTCCTCGTGTCCTCTCTCTTCTTCCTTCTTTCTATTCATCCCTTTCTACTTCTTTCTATTTTTCTTTCCCCTTCCCTTCCTTCCTTCTCTATCTCTCCTTCCTTTCATCCCTTTCTCCTTCTCCCATAACTTCCTTCTTTCAATTTCTTTTCCCCTTCCTCCCTCTTCTTTTCATCCATCCAACCCTCTTTCTCCTTCTCTTTCTTTCCTTCTTCCCATTCGTCTTTCCACCTTCCTTCCTTCCTTCCTTCCTTCCTTCCTTCCTTCCTTCCTTCCTTCTCTCTTTTGTTCCACCTCCCTTTCCCCTTCCCTTCCTTCTATCCTCTCCCTTCTTCCTCTTTTCCATCCATCCCTCTTTCCCCTTCCATCCCTTTCTCCTTTCTTTCCTCCTTTCCATTTCCCCTTCCCTTCCTTCCATTCTTCTGTCCTCTTCCTCTTCCATATTTCACCTTCCCTCTTTCATTCCAGCTCTCCTTCCCTTCCTTCCTTCTCTCCCTCTCCTTCCCTTTCTCCTTCTTTTTCCTTCCATCTCTCCTTTCCCCTTCCCTTCCTCTCTCTTCTTCCTCTTTCCCATCCATCCCTCTTTCTCCTTCCTTCCTTCTCTTCTTCTCCCTCCCTCCTTCCCTTTCTCTTCCTCTCTTTCCTTCCACCTCTCCTTTCCCTCTTTCCTTCCTTCTGTCCTTCTCTATTCTTCCTCTTCCCCTCTTCATTCCTTCCTTCCTTCTCTCTCTCTTTTTCCTTCCTTCCATCCCTTTCTCCTTCCCTCTTTTGTTCCACTTCTTCTTTCCCTTTCCCCTTCCTTCTGCCCTTCTCTCTTCTTCCTTTTTCCCATCCATCCTTTTTTCCCCTTCCTTCCTTCTCTCCCTCTTTCCTTCCTTCCATCCCTTTCTCCTTCCCTCTTTCCACTTCTTCTTTCCCTCTTTCCTTCCTTCTTTCCCCTTCCTTCCTTCCTTCCCTCCTCCTTCCTTCTTCCTCTCCCTCTCTTTTCCTTCCTTCCATCCCTTTCTCCTTCCCCTTTCCTTCCTTCTCCCTTCTTTCCCCCCTTCCTCCTTCCTTCCTCCTTCCTTCTCTTCTTCCTTCCTTCCTTCTCTTCTTCCTTCTTCCTTCCTTCCCTTCCTTCCCTCCCTCCCTCCCTCCCTCCCTCCCTCCCTCTCCTTTCCTTCCTTCCACCCCTTTGCCTTCCCTCTTCGGGGCTACCCACCTGCAGGAGACGGTGAGCTCCACTTTGGTGGCGGGCACCCTGGACGGCGCGGGCTCCAGGTCCCCCGGCGAGGCCATGCCGCTGGGCAGGAAGAGAGAGAGGGGCAAGCAGGCAAGCAAGCCAGGAGAGAAGGAAGGAGGGCCTTCCTCAGGCGGTGGCGAAGCGCTCCATGGGGCAAGGCAGGCAGGCAGGCAGAGCCAMCAGGAGGAGGCGGCCAAAGCAGCCGAGGGAGGAGAGCGCGCGCCTCTGCCTCTTGCCTCTTGCCTCTTACCTCGATGCCTCTTGCMAGGCTTCTGCCTCTCGCGCGCGCGGCTCTCCCCGGGCAGCACGTGCGCCCTCGAGGGGAGGGGCCGGCCGCGAGGGGAGGGGAAAGCAAGGGAAGGGAGGGGAGGGGAGGGGAGGGGGGGGTGAAACTTTTCCCTCCCTCCCTCCTCTTCCTTCTCTTGCTTGCTTGCTTGTCTCTCTCGTGCGCCCCGTCGGAGGAAGAGCGCTGTCCCAGGTGCTGCTTGGCCTCTCTTGCTCTCCTTCTGCTTTGGGCTTCCTTTCCCTTCCTTTTGACAATTCTTGCCTGCCAAAAAAAAAGCAGGATCGTTTGGAAAGCATCTCTTTCCAAGGCGTGGGCTGGCCCTATTTATAGCCCAGGGAGGAAAGGAAGGCGCAGGAAGGAGGAGAAGAAGAAGCCACCCCCGGGAAGGCCCCGCACCATTGACATTGTTTACAGATATTAGCAGGCCTGAGCCAACTTGGGCCCTCCAGGTGATTTGGACTCCAACTCCCACCATTCCTAACAGCCTCAGGACCCCTCCTATTCCCCCTCAGCTGCTTAAGCTGAACAACCACTCCAAAACCCAAGGTCAATGCCTACCAAACCCTTCCAGTAATGCTCTTTGACTGTAGGTAAACTTCAACTCTCAAATGAAAAAATCAACACCCCTCCCCAACCCCACCAGTATTCAAATTTGGGCACATCAAGTATTTGTGCCAAATTTGGTCCAGTGAAGGAAAAAAACATCCTGCATATCAGAGATTTACATTACAATTCATAACAGTAGCAAAATTACTGTCATGGAGTAGCAATGAAAATAATTTTATGGTTGGGGGTCACAACAACAAGGGGTCGCAGCATTAGGAAGGTTGAGAAACACTGTTTTAAGGGCTTAGGGCCATGGCCCTGTTATACAGTTCCTCATTTCATGGTGATCCCCAACCATAAAATTATTTTTGTTGCTACTTCATAACTGTAATTTTGCTACTGTTATGAATCGTCATGTAAATATCTGATATGCAGGATGGATTTTTGTTCACTGGGCCAAATTTGGCACAAATACCCAGTATGCCCAAATTTGAATATTGGTGGGGTTGGAGGGGATTGATTTTTCATTTGGGAGTTGTAGTTGCTGGGATTTATAGTTCACCTACAACCAAAGAGAATTCTGAACTCCACCAATGATGGAATTGAATCAAACTTGGCACACAGATCTCCCATCACCAACAGAAAATACTACCGCAGAAGGGTTTGGTGAACATTGATCTTGAGTTTGGGAGTTGTAGTTCACCCGCATCCAGAGAGCACTGTGAACTCAAACAATGATGGATCTGGACCAAACTTGGGCCAAATCTTCAATATGGACAAATGTCAACACTGATGGAGTTTGGGGAAAATAGCCCTTGACACTTGGGAGTTGTTATTGCTGGGATTTATAGTTCACCTACAATCAAAGAGCATTCTGAACTCCACAAATGATAGAATTGGGTCAAACTTCCCACAAACAACCCCATGGATCAACAGAAAATTCCGTGTTTTCTGATGGTCTTTGGTGACCCCTCTGACACCCCCTTATGACCCCCCTAGGTGTCCTGACTCCCAGGTTGAGAAAAGTTAGCTTAGGGCCGCTTAACATCCTAATTCAGCCCTGATTGACTTCACTGTTTAAAGTTAGATGCATGTGTGTGTATATATGTAAGCAGTCCCCAAGTTACAAATAGCTGACTTACAAATGACTAATAGTTAAAACCAGGAGATGAGACAACAGGAAGTGAGAGGAATCTACCCCACGGAAAGGGGAATTCACTCCTGGAAGAGTTATCATGGGGAAAATGCCGGGTTTTAGCACAGCTAATTAATCACTTGCAGCAATAGATCACGCCAATTGAAAGGTTGGCAGTTCGAAGCCCAGGTTGGGGTGAGCATTCGACCTCCAGCCCAGCTCACTGTCCACCTAAGCAGTTCGAAAATAGGTGTGAGCTGTGAGTAGAGAAATTAGGCACTGCTCAAGCGGGGAGGTATTTTATAGCACCATAAAAGAAATACCAGAAAATGTCTGCGATCAAAGGAAGGAGGAAGTCTGTGATCATGGGCTCTTCGTCATAGAGGATGGAGCGACAGCACCCCCCTGTGGCCGGAATTGAGCACAACCTCCAACATGCTGAAGTTGGGGAAAATGCCGACATATACCTCTATCTGTTATCTGTCCTGTCTGTTTAATGACATTGAATGTTTGCTGTGTATGTGTTCTGTGATGCGCCCTGAGTCCCCTTTGGGGTGAGAAGGGTGGAATATAAATGAGGCAAATAAATAAATAATCCTTGTTTCCACAACAAGCCAATTTTTTCAAAATCCAATTCTCACAGGGACAGAAAGTGAGACAAACTCTTCTGAAGAGGAGCTCAGACAACAAAATAAACAGCACAGGAGTGTTAACCTTTCCCTATGTTACCCAAAGCTTGTATATATATGACTGGAGTTACACTTTAAAATGTACCTATTCCGACTTACATACACATTCAACTTAAGAACAAGCCTACAGAACTTGTCTTATTCATAACTTGGGGGTTGCCTGTATATATGTGTACATATATGAGTGTGTGTGTGTATGTGTGTGTGTGTGTGTGTGTATATATATATATATAAATGCAAAATAGAAACAATCAGACACTACTGTATTTTGAAATGAAACAAAACTAACCATATGATGGCAAACAATGTTTTTTTTTAATGCTTCCACATTATTAATACTTTAAAAGTTTTCTCCTAGTTTTCCTAATAGCAAAGTTTTTTTTTATTTGTGGGAATCTGGTTTGGCTGCACGGTTTGTAGTCTTGGACCATATAGTTCATGGCAAATCTGGCAATGGGAAATTTCTGGGGTGCGTCCTCCATCCCTTCCTGGGTTTGTCATAGAACCAGAAGAGAACCCAAGGGCCATTTGGTCCAATCCCATACTACCATGCAGGAAAATACAATGAAAGCACACTTGACAGATGACCAACCAGCCTCTGTATAAAAAACCCGCAGAGGTGGAGACTCCACTATGCTCTCAGGCAGCATATTCCACTGCTGAACCGCTCTTACTGTCAGGCCGTTCTTCCTGATGCTTAGATGGAATCCTTTTTCCTGCCATTTGAATCAATTGCCCCATTGTTTTGTTCGATAGTTAATTAAACCATTTCATTCATTCATTCATTAGGCAATCCCTCATTGTCCGAGTAAGATTGTCCTCCAAGTGTGTTGTCCTGGTGGTGGATACGCAGGTGACTGTGGAGCCCTATTCTTGATCTGCATGTTCTCCCGCAGTGAGGGCATCGGTTTCTGGGTGAAGGCGGTCCCGGTCAGGTTTGGCTTGACGCACCTTCCTCTTGGCACATTTCTCTCTTTTGCCCTCCATTCGTGCCTCCCTCAAATTCTACAGCACTGCTGGTCACAGCTGACCTCCAGCTGGAGCCCTCAAGGGCCAGGGCTTCCCAGTTTTCAGAGTCAATGCCACAGTTTTTAAGGTTGGCTTTGAGCCCATCTTTAAATCTCTTTTCCTGTCCTCCAACATTTCGTTTTCCATTCTTGAGTTCAGAGTAGAGCAACTGCTTTGGGAGATGGTGATCGGGCATTCGGACAATGTGGCCGGTCCAGCGAAGTTGATGGCGGAAGACCATCACTTCAATGTTGGTGGTTCTTTGCTTCTTCCAGCATGCTCGCATTTGTCCGCCTAACTTCCCACGCAATTTGCAGGATTTTTCGGAGGCAATGCTGATGGAATCATTCCAGGAGTTGCATGTGACATCTGTAGATAGTCCACGTTTCGTAGGCATACAGCAGGTTGGGAAAATAATAGCTTTATAAACAAGCACCTTGGTATCCCTACGGATGTCCCGGTCCTCAAACACTCTATGCTTCATTTGGAAGAATGCTGCACTTGCAGAGCTCAGGCGGTGTTGTATTTCAGTGTCAATGTTGATTTTTATGGAGAGGTGGCTGCCAGGATAGCAGAAATAGTCAACATTTTCTAATGTTACACCATTAAGCTGTATTTCTGGCATTGCAGATGGGTTGGCTGGTGACTGCTGGAAGAGCACTTTGGTTTTCTCAATGTTCAGTGACAGGCTGAGCTTCTCGTATGCTTCTGTGAAGGTGTTTAGAGTTGCTTGTAGGTCTTCTTCTGATTGTGCACAGATGACATTGTCATCAGCATACTGGAGTTCTATAACAGATGCTGTTGTGATCTTGATTTTGGCTTTCAGTCTGCTGAGGTTAAATAGCTTGCTATCTGTCTTATTTTCCATCTTCATTGCTATGATACTTCATCTTGTTGATGAGAAGCTTCCCACCAGAGTGGATATCATCAATGGTTAAGCCAACCCTGGGTAAAGTGGTAGTTTAAGAACTCTTTCCGCAAGATGTCAAATTGAGAAAAGAAAGGTCCCATTGCTTTGCCTCGCTGACTGCTATGTTCAAGGAACAAGGAGAACAGATTTCTTCACAGACTGCATTGTTAGACAAGCTGCACAACGGTGTAAACCTTTGCAAGAAGTTCAAAACAATTTCCTGTTTGTTTCCAAGAGTTTCGAATAGTGGAGAGTAGGAAGAGAGTACTCCACTTAAAATAATCTGGTAATGGGAAAAGTCAGGGTGTCCTTGGATCTGAGGAAGTCCAGGATGAAATTGCCACTGAGCCATGAAACTCAACGGAACCTCTCTCCGCTCCATCTCCCTCACAGGGCTGTTGTGATGATAACAGTGACAAGAGCTATGTAGGCCACCTTGTGCTGACTAGCGGGAAGGGGGGAATACTCGTGAAACTCAAAACAAATCCTATTACAGGCTTTCAAGGCAGAATGCCACTCGTACACGGACAAGCCAAATAATACTTCCATTACCTAGCCAGTTTTTCGTTCCACGTGGATTTTTTTATGGCAAGCCAGTC